GTGGGAAAGTGGTGTGACCCTCCTGGACTCAGTTTCCCCATCTGTACCATGCGCGTGAGGCCGTGGAGTTCTCCTGTCCTCCATGGGGCAGGGGAGGAGATGCCACACTGCCTTCACTGCCCTGGCTGTGCCTGGACAGCGCTGCCTCCTGCCAGGTGAACAGCAGCCTGGGGGCCTTGGATGCTGCCCGTTTGTGTGGCCCCCGGGTCACATCTAAAGGCCCTGGACAAGACCTGACTGGACTATGTGCGCTGCTACCAACTTCCCCTTCCTCCTATCTGGTGTGAGAGGCTGAAGGCCCGGGTAGCGTGGTCTCATGCTCTTGGTGAGTCTGGGGGCGCTGGTCAGCTCTCCCAGCGCGCGGCAAAGCATCTGCCTCTGGCTTTCCCTCTGTCGTCCCCCACCTCCCTCCCTCTGCCTCCTGCGGGGCTTGTCCCTCTGAGCGAGCGCCCCATAGCTGCCTGCTTTTCGTTTGAGCTTTGTCCCTGGCGCCCCCAGCCTGTCCCTCCGCCACCCTAGCGGGCAGCCGGCTTACCCGTGGTGCCGGCCCCGGAGCCGGCTGTGCTGCAGCACCAGCTGGTAAGGCGATTTGGCGGGGCCCGCCAAGGTGGCGGCAGGGCCCAGGGCCAGCGCCAGGGCGAGGGGCAGCAGCCGCACGAGGAACGCCATGGAGCGAGAGGACGCGCTGCGCAACAGCGGGCGGGAGGCAGGGGCAGTGAGAGCGCCTCCTCAGCGGGCCGGGCTAATAAGCGGCAGCGAGGGGCGGGAGGCCAGGCGGGCAGGCGGAGGGCGGGAGCCCCAGCGCTTCGCCCCCCTTCCCTCTCCCCCCCACCCCCACACTGCCCGCCGGCCCCAGGCTGCGCGGCTCCCTTCACCGTCCTCGCACCGCCCAATCCGCCCGCCTCGGGTCCTCTCTCTTCCCCTCCCCGACCCGCTCCTTGGCACCAAGGCTACAGGTCTTGTGGAAGGAGCGACTGGGAGCCAGGGGCAGCTGTGCCGAGGCTCTCCGCACGCCTCACTCCCTCCTGGAGCCTGCAGGGCTGAGCCCAAAGACCCCTTGCTGGCCTCGAAGCCACAGAACATAGCCCAAGCGGGGAGACAGGCAATGCCGATCCCCACAATACGCTCCCCAGCAGACTTCCCTCTGCATGCCAGGAGCACCCCTCTCTCTCCTAGGCTTGCTAATTGAAGGAAAGATAAGGATTAGATTTTAGGATTAACCAAAGTCAAAAAAATGTGGGACAGGTTTTTTAGACTCTAAGCTACTCCTGGAAACCACAGAGAAGGGTGGGGTCCATTACCTTGGCTCAGGCTCATTCTCTCTTCATTAAGTCTCTGTGCAGCGCTGTGGCCAGATTGATGCTGCAAAGAGATGGAACAGACAAGAGTTTTGCCCTGCAGGAGCTCAGATCGAGTCAACAAATAGTCACATGGGAAGGAGGCATTCACCCAAACGCCTATTAATCACCTACTAGTTAGTTACCTGGCACTGCAGGCCCAGGGGAGACAAAGATGGATGAGCAGATGGGATCCAGGCTCCTTCTGAAAAAGCTCACAGTGCGGTGATGGGCAGGCCACCCAACAGTGTGCCATGGAGAGGCTGAGGCATCAGGCCCTGACAGGGGTGATGCCTGCTCGTAGGCCTGAAGGGTAAGGAGACAGCCAGGCAAAGCGAGGTGTGCATTCAGGGAACGCAAGTTGGACAGCTGACTGACGCATGGGGAGGTGGAGTCACGGGTGGAGGAGGGAAGGCATGTCACAGGGCCCAGACCCAAGCTCAGTCCTGCAGGTGATGGAGAAGAAGGCAAGCGACACCATCAGGTCGGAAACAGGCTATAAGAGAATCAGGTAAAATAAGGCAAGACGGGAAACAGGACAATCAGGTGAGCAGGAGGAGACCGTGGTAGTGGAGGTGGGCATGAAGAGAGGCAGCAAACCAGAGGGGTGTCCAGGGGTAACAGGACTCGGCAGAACTTGGAGGCTGTACCTCGGGTGTGTGGGAGAGGAGTCCAGGACGACTTAAGTGTCCTTGGCATGGGCATCTTGGTAGACGGTGGTACCATTTTTGGAATTAGGTCTAAGGACGTGGGCGCCGATTTGCCAGGCGAGGGTAAGTGGTTTTGAAGACACTGAGCTGGAGGTGCTTGTGACTCATCCAGGTGGAATGCACCATGGGCAGCTGGAAATAAGGATCTGGAGCTCGAGCGAGAGATCTGGGGTGGAGATCCAGATGTGGAGTCGTCCTCGGCCCACACAAAGCCAGAGCCGTGGAAGTGGATGAATTCTCTGGGGAGGGCACGTGGAGCAGGAGGTGGGCGATGACAGATGATGGAGAGAAGGCATGGCAGAGCGCAGCCACCAAGGAGGTGAAGGAGTGCTGACAGGAGAACAGGAGCAAATGGGGGCGTGTGGGCCCCAGAAGGAGGGAGCTGCGAGCAGTAACGCTGCTCACAAGACGCATCCAAAGAGCGAGCATCCGCTGTGTCTCAGACAGAGGCCCTGGGGACTTGGCTGTGGAGAGCAGGTGGGCTGAAGCCAGCTTACAGTGGTGTGATGGAGAGGCTGCAAGTGTAGACAGCTCTTTGAAGGAGTTTGTCTGAGAAGGGGAGAGTCAGGGTGGAAGCTGGGAGATGACAAAGTCAAGAGAGGCTAGGTGTTAGGATGCTGATGGAAAGGAGGTGGTCATCGCCACGAGGAAGAGAGAGGGGTGATGAGAGTGAGGCGGAGAAGGAGCAGGAGAGCAGTGGGGCACAGCAGTGTGCGGGTTGGAGGAGGGGCAAGGTACCCAGGCAGTGAAAGCCCCTGAGGGCCTGACTTGGGGGAATGGTGGAAGGAGCAGTTTCAGGGAGAGTTCAGGGGTAGCAGTGACTAGATTTGGAAACCCCACAGGCATGGAGGGTGAGAGACAGGAGCGAGTCAGAGACAGCCTCTACCTGGGGAGACTGGGTGCACGTCCCGCAGGCACACTGGTGGAAGTGTGCAGTGGGCCGCCTGTTGGGAAGGAGGCATGGTTCCAGGTGTGTTCACATCACCTGACGGCCTCTGCGTTTCCAGCTGGAGATGTCCAGGAGGAAGCTACCTCCAAAGGTAGAGAGTTCATGAGAGGTGTGAGGGCTGGAGATGCAGATTTGAGTCACCACAATGGGGGCGGGGGGGGTGGACAAACTCCTTGGGAGCATGTATTGGAGAAGGGGGAGAGCGAGGGGAAGAGGAGGAGATGGCAGGCCAGAGTCCTGGGGAACGCCATCTGGAGAGGCTGAGGGAAAGGTAGAGAAGGAACCCTGGACCGAGGTCCAGGGAGATCCAGAGAGGCCAAAGGAGAGGAGAATTTCAGAGAGCCACCACCACTGCCAGCTGGGGCAGACAGTTCAAGCTGGACCCTATCACTTAGTGGTTCCTAGACTATGGTTGGCACTCAAGAAACCAAAGCCCACAAGGCTACAGAAAGTTTTCTGGAACATTCTGATCCCAGGTTGTATCTTCTGCGTTGAAGACTAGGGGATGTTCTGGGATGACTTTGACCTTGGCGAGAGCCAGGTCCTTCCCTGATGTCCTCCCTGTCTCTCCCCCTCTCTGTCTCCCCAGAAAGAAGAGGCAGTCAATGTCCTCATTGACTCCCCTGGCTTCCTGTGGGGGCCAGTCGCAGTGCTGGAGACCTCTGCCACTTTGGGGAAAACGTTCCTTTGCCTGCCTCTCTGTCCAGGTGGGGCTCATTCTGCTCGCTGGTGAGGACTGTCAAGCACATACTTGGTCTGGAGTTACAGGCCTTTCCTGAAAGCAGCTGAGAGAGGAGACTGCCTCTCCTGCTGTGTGAGGTTTTGCATTTGGGATCCTGGGATTTAGCTCCACTTTATCTATGAATCCTTTTCCTCATTGTGGTGTTATCTTTCTTTTTTTTTTCTGGAGCCTCGAGGAGAAAATCCAGAGAACAGGATAGGAAGAGCTATTTTGATGATTTCCACATCAAAAAATCCTATCAGTGGTGATGCCAGTGATGGCGCAAAGAGGAAGGTGTTTTTGGCAATAATCCTACTCAGTGAGGCAATATGAATGTCCACTAAGATCGGGCTGGGAAGGCCGCCTTGGCCCGGGCTGAGGTCTGAGGACACAGCAGCTTCCATGGATTGGCAGCCGAGTCTGAGCTGCTGTAAAATAGCCTCTTTATAAAATCAGGGTGGTCTGATCAGAAGGGCAGGGTAAGAAATGATAAGTTTCAGGAAAGGATATGCACCGAGAGGGGAGGATGTGGCCTTTGGCAACTTTGCTTGATGGTTTTGGTTTGTGGGTCCCCCAGCGAGGGTTCAGGTAGATTGCCGGCCTTGCCTGAGCAATGGCGTTGCTATAGCAAAGCTGCTGAGTGAAGGCTCTGGAGGCAGATGTCCTGAGTTCAAATCCCAGACCTGCTACTTATAAGATGTATAGCCTGGAGCAAGTTGTTCAACTCCTCTGAGTCTCAACCGCATGACCCCTTGGCCGAGGGCACTGAGAAGGCTTAAAGATTTGCAAACTAGGGCTTAAAGTTCCCCTGGGGCTGGAGCACTGGCTGCATCCCAGCTTTAGGGACACTGCCCCTTGTGTGCAAGAGCCTGGAGGCCCTTCCTGGCTCAACTCGCCCTCTAGCAAGATTTACAGGCTTTGGGCCAGGTCAGGTAATCTTGCTGTAAAACTTCCCTCCTCTGTAAAACTAACATTCAGTGACTTGAATTTTTCCATGAGCTCAGAAATGCAATTACAGTAATACTTCATTTACTGTTTAGATGTAAAAGAAAAAAAATTCCACTTCCATGCCCCACCACTGCCCCCTCTCCAAAAACAGAAATGCAGAACCCTGTGGATGTAAACATGTTCTCCCACCAGAGACGGCTGCTGTGGGGGGTGTTTTTGTTTCATGGGAAAAGTGACCTCTATGTGACTGGGGGAAGGGGCAGGGTCCTCCATGCCTAAGTAACCGGGAGCCAACCAGCTCACTATAAGACCGTTAATTTGGGAAGGATTTTCTTTTCTTTCCATGTTAGACAAACTGAAGAGAAAGAGAGGCTTGTTTGGAACAACGATTACTAGACTTTTTCAGGCACTTTATAAAAATGACTACTTTCACATTCTGTGGCTCACACAAGATCACCAAACACAGTTTAATTTTTGAAAATAACCCCGTTGAGCCTGACAACAGGCCTTAAACATCAAGATGAATTAGTAGTTCCAACAAATTCCCCACAGAGGAAACCTGGAAAGAAATTGGTCTGGGTCTGTTGGCGGCAGAGCTGGCATTTACAGCCTGACCAACTGCCTGCCTCCCTTTTGTCACCCTCTCTAAAGTCCCACCAGTATAGATAGGTGACACGGTCAAAATCATTTCCAGAGGGCACTTGGCCTTTCTAACCTGCCACGATGTGGTGAATTAGAGAGCTCTTAAAATTAATTTCCCTGAGACTTGCTAGGGAGAAAGGAAGGTCAATTTGGGCGTAAGATAGCCCATTTAAAAGGGCATATGAATCAAATTTTGGGGAAATTTTCCATTCTTTATACAACACACAGCACTTAGAACAGTACTTTACACATAGCAATTATCTATCCACCTAACAAAACAATGCAAGAAACATCCTCGTTTACTAAAATTAAGAGGTGATTGTAGTGCCATTTAGGGTTTGGATTTGGTTTTCCAAGGAATTTCCATAATCTTGCCACTCAAAATGTGGTCCGCAAAATAACAGCATTGGCAACCCCACCCAACCCAACCCCTGCACCCAATCAGACTCTACTTTTTAACAAGATCACAGGTAATCTGTGTTCAAGTCAAAGCTTATATATATATATATATATATATATATATATATATATATATATATAAATAGCTAAATAGCTAAATAGCTAAAGCTCAGGAGAGTTTCAACTAGGATTCAATTATGTAAAACTTTTCAAGAAATGTAGCCATTGACAAGAAAGAAATAAGCCTGAAATGTGGACCAATGAAATGACCATACTGGAAATCTCTGCCCACCCAGTCGCTGGGTATTCAGTGTCTTCATACACTGAACAGGGAAAAGAAATTGTGTTTGGCCTGGGTCACCTTCAACATTTCTCTCCTTTCAAAACCTGCAGAGGAGGCCTGGGGGATCCACAGGTTTGTAACAGCAAATACTTAAAACAAACCTGCAGCTTCAGTTCTGTCCCCAACTCATGGGTGGGGACAGAACAGCTGTCACATCCCAAAAATGGCATTAAGTCCCCCAGTGTTTACTTTCCTAAAGGACTTGCTGTTTTCACAATTTCTCCAAACACTGGCTTTCCTCATCAAGGCTTGCCAAATGCTACTACTTGTTGGTTTAAACCCAAATTCATTTTCCAGGGAAATTGCTTTTTCACCAGCGAGTTCCATTGATTTGGCTCAGACAGAGTATCTTAAAAGGGAAGACTCCAGAGGTGCTTTTGAGGTTGCTTAGGTTGCCTGACCTCAGGTACTTTTGTGGAGCGATGCTCACAGCAGGGAACTTACCAGATGCTTGTTGGCTTGAGAAGCAAAGCTTACCCACGCTTCTCCTCTGCTCCCCTCAAGTTGTCTTGCATGGAGGGCAAAGGCCTCTGAGAAATAGACACCACCCAGCCTCAATATATTCCAAAGTCCAGGAATCCCCAGGGCTCCTTTGTCCAGCACATCTTCCCTTCTTTGTTCTTGTCAATGGCGCCTCGGAAAGTTGGAAAAACAATGCAGCCGGTTTGGTCTCTCTTCCCTTTGTGCCCGCCCCCCCACGTGCCATCAGGCACCAAGACCCTACAAGTATCCTTTCCGAATCTCGCCTACATGTTTCTATTGCCCCATTTACCACCTCCTCTGATGATACCCCACATCCCTACTGCCTCACTTCTCTGCCCACAGCCAGTCTCCTTGACATCAGCCCTCAGCCCCCAGCCATCCATCTTTCCCTGCGCTGCCTGTCTTATCTTCCACAAACACTTCTACCCAAACTGCTCTCCTAGGACACGCCCAGCGGCTTCTACTGTTTATCAGGGAAAATCCAGGCTTCTCTGCCTGTTTTGTGTTAGTAAACATCTTTTTCCCCCTAGTTAAAACAGGAACACCTACGCATACATTATACAAAGCTTGGAAAACATTGAACATGCTAGATAAGAGGATAAAATGATCCATCCATAATCCCTACATCAAAAGATACTTTCGGTGTATTGTCTTCCTCCTATTATACGTGGCCTCTAAGTTTTCTACAGAATTCCTCCTCCCCATCGTCCGGCCTGCTTTCCCACGGGTCCCAGTAGCATCCCTGGCTCCTGCAGGGTATGTACTTTCTCCACCCTCCCACACACATGCACAGCCCCACCTCTGCTTCCCTGTGCAGAGCACTGGGCTCCTCTTTGTCTCCACTTAGTGTATAATACTCTCCCTTCAAGACCAGCTTTGCTACCTAGAAGCTGTGTGTCCTCAGGCAAATTCCTTAACCTTTCTGGGCTATTGGTTTTTCAGCAGGTCTCCCTCCCATGGCCTTCTACCTTAGGCTCTCCTTTTCAATATCTAAGGCTTTGAACCTTTAGCCCTTGGGTCTATCATCACAGTTTGCACCTGTGCTTCTTTTATAACCTCTTAATAACTCAGCACGGAGCCCGGTTAACATTTAGGGATTCATTAATTGGCTGGCTGGCTGTGTTTAGAAAGATCTGGCCTAAGTCCCTTCTGGTGCAGTTCATACTTATCCCTGTGGACTGGTCCGGGGTAGACAGAGCCTGGCACTGCTTTAGCAGCTGTTGCACCACACGTCTTAGCCTGATGAGCGTGGCCTGCAGGGTCAGGGAGAGTCTCTGAAAGGCCTTAAAGAACACTGGTCCTGGCTCCCCTCCCCAGCTTCCCTGGTTGGGCATTCCGTCCCAGCAGAAAGAAGCCAACTTCTCTGGAGCTGGGCACTCCCAACATCACTTCCCGATTCTCTGCACGCTCCCCTTCCCCGCCACCCCCCCATGTACCATGCTAACTCAGGTACAGTGCGGTGCTGGCATCAGAGAGCAGGAAAGGGAAGGGAGGCTGAAGCTAACTATCTGAGCCACAGCACCCATTCGAAGAGCCATGTTACAAGTGCCTAAGAGAGTGCTCCCACGCTGACACCACCCTGCCTCACTCCAAATTACCTGGACATTTGAATCCACGGGATAGGGGGCAATTTGCACAGGCTGGCGAGCTTGTGAGATGGGAGCCGCACGATGTTGCCTGCTGGTGTTACCATCTGGAACGTGCTTTCTGCAGACCAGCACCTTCACCCTGGAATGAAAGGACAAAATTAACCCCAAGTGGGGGCTCCATCATGCTCACCAGACTCCCTCCCTTCCCCCCAGAAGTCAGGCCCTGGGCCCATCCAAGACAATAGGGCCCGAGGGCATACCTGTGAGCATCAGCTAGCTGCATCACCCCCTCCCCAGGCCTTCCCAGCACTTCCTTCCTCGCTCTTATCCTCCATCCAGGGGGACTCCTGCTAATTCACTGGGATGTGAATGGGCTAAATTGTGGAGAGCCGGAGGTCTGCAGTCGGGGTTAAGCCTGAGAGCTGGCAGGCTGACAGGCTCTCAGGCCCTCGGTGAGCAGCGTGGAAAGGTTGGCCGCTGAGGAGAAAACAGCCTAAGGCCTTGAAAGCTACAGAGTGGAATGCCATCCTGTTAACAGTTTCTGTTTGCTATGTTTTGTCTTACTTCGGAGAGATTGCTCCCAAAACCCCCTACCTAAAAAAAGTTACTTTTGCTATAAAAGCTGTGCATAAACAATAAATGCTGCCACTCTCTGCCATCAGCATTGGGTGGACCTCCTGTCCCCAGCTTTCGTCTCTAGTCTCTTTCTTTTCTAGTCTCCCACCCAGTCCTCTCAGGTATCCTTTCTGTAAGCTCCTGACTGACGAGTCAGGAGCGCTCGGCTGGTGTGCGGGTCGCATCAGTAAATGCTCTGATGAGAGGAGGCAGGAAAGGGGCTTGGATTGTTGCTTTTATTGCTGCTTTTAAAGACTGCAAACGCAGGGATTAGCCTCTGAGGTTCCCCCAGATGAGGCTGTGTCTAGGAAAGGCTGTGAGCTTGAGAGTGACGCAAGGAAACAATCAGAAGAGGTGTGTGCACGCGTGAGCACACGCAGAACTAGCCTACTGAAGGATAATATGGCTTACCCAACGGCAGGGACTATTCTAAGTACTTTCCATGCCTTAAGTCATTTCATCCTTAAAATAATCCTCAGCGTTGGGTATTGTTCTCTTTTCTGTCTTACAGATGAGGAAGGTAAGGCCTGGCGAGGTGAAGGAACTTGCCAGAGCAGTGCCGGAGCTTGAAAGCAAGAGTCAGAAGCTGCACAGAGGCAGCCCAGCCCCCAGCGCCTGCCCTACGCACACCCACTGCCCTACGCGCCTCTCCAGGCAGTGCAGCTGCACATTTTTTGAAAGCCCTGGAACCGGCTCTGCTCTGCACAGGTGTTCATTGAGCAAAGCCCCACGAGTCCCCAGCGGCCACTGTGGTGAATGCGGCAGCTTTGGTGGGGAACGTGCCTGCGCAAGGTCACTCGCCTCTGACCCCACACAGGCAGGGGAACTGAGCTGCGGGGAACCACTACTCACTTTCACCATGAAATCAGGGTTCCTTTGAGTGGATCAGCTAGAAGTACTTAGTAGTCCTCAACAACCTGGCCGGGGCCACTCCCAGCCTACCAACAGAGTGCTGTGTAGGGACTGTGTGCTGATCTGTTACCTCAGGCAGAAAGAATGGGGCTGCTGGGAGAGGGGGCGTGAGGAGGGGGTGCGGGGAGGCAAAGGGAGGACACGAGGTCATCCTTAGGAAAAGGTATGGCTACCAGACGGGTCAGAACTGGATCCCGGTGGCCAACAGCAGACCCAGGACACCATCTGGCCCCTCAGGTGAACTTCGGTTCATTACAATGGGTTACAATATTATCAGCATGGCAGCCAAAAGAAATCTCCACCCCCTGTCATGTGTCGCCATGGCAGTTCTGTCATGGGCCGAGCAAGAACCAGGGAATCCCACCTTCCGACAGGAAGGGGTCGTCAGCGAGGAGCCGCCTGGGAACGCCTGGGAAGCCACCCCTAAAACTTGAATGTTTCGCGCCCTCATTCTGACAGAACCCCAAGTCTCTTTGCTCTTCGGCACAGTTGCTCCTCTTCGGGTCTGCCCGCTCTCACGCCGTCTCGAGAGTGGGCTGTTTCCTTTCTTTCAATGAATCCTCTGCTTGCTTGGCTTTGTTGGCGCTGCTTATTTGTGCGTCCTTGAATTCCGAGGCACAGGAAGGGGTTACCAGCCACATGCTACTGCTATTTGAGCAGCCCTGACTTCAGCCTCCTCCAAATCATCTTCTCGCAGTGCCCTCCTCTGATCAAGTCTCTGGAATTTGAGTTAGACAAATGAAAATGCCACTCAGCTAGCATGGGCAAGAGGGGACTTGCCTTCTTGAATTTGTGGGGAGCACGTCTCTATCTTTTCCCCAGCCTCTGGGTAGACACCTGAGGGGTTCTACAGTCCAGACATGGGGGCTCCCTGTGGCCTGGGACTGCCCAAAGGGAACATTCCCCAGCCGTATCCCAATTTACCATCACGTATCTTCTAGGCTCCAGGTATTAATTTATGGTCTCAGTTCACATGAGATTTGTAAACATAATTAGGCAGGAGCCAGCAAGTTCCCACCATTCCATCTTAATTGTCTAGACCCCTCTTTGCAGCCTTCTGCACTTTAACAATTACTTTTGTGTGATTCTTTGGTTGGCAAGATGGATAACTTTATTTCCTAATGTATTTTACATTGGAGATGCACTAATATATATTAAGCAGTCACTGCTTCTCTTAAAGCACCATAAAAATACAGTGGTCCCCCCTTATCCACGGGGGATACGTTCCAAGACCCCCAGTGGATGCCTGAAACCCTGGATTGTACTGAATTCTATATATATTACGTCTCCTATACATACATACTTACGATAGAGTTTTAATTTATAAATTAGACACAGTAATAATTAACAACAATAACAATTGTTAATAGAATAGAACAATTGTAACAATAAACTATAATAAAAGTTATGTGAATGTGGCCTTTCTCTCTCTCCCTTTCTCAAAATATCTTATGGTACTGAGATGATAAAATGCCTTATTAAGTTGAAAACGTTCACCGTTTTCAAATGAAGGAAGCACTTTATGGCTTCTCTTTGGTACATCCCAATTGCCAGCATCACCACTCTTATTCTTTGAGGTGACTATTAAGTAAAATAAGGGTCACTTGAACACAAGCACCACGACACCGGGGCAGCTGATCTGATCACCGAGATGGCTAAGAGGCTAACGAGCAGGCAGCATACAGCATGGATACTCTGGACGAAGCAGCGAGTCACATCCCAGGCTGGATGAAGCAGGACAGCACGAGATTTCATCACACTACTCAGAGCGGTGCTCAATTTAAAACTTAAGAATTGTTTATTTCTGGAATTTTCCATTTAATATTTTCAAACCACAGTTGACCGTGGGTAACAGAAACCGAGGAAAGAGAAACCACGGATGGGAGGTGGATACCATTATGTAAAATAAAAGTGAATGGTAATTTTTTTGGTGCCTGGCACAACCCCACAAGTGACAGCACTTTGGCAAGGCACATGAAAACAACAACAAAAAACCCCACTTTTCTTTTATTTCTTGTTTAATAACTGATCAAATATTAATTATCTGTGCCTGAGAATTCTTTAAACTAATGGCATGGTCATTTTAGTTTAACATTTAATACAACAAAATCCCAGCACAACGAAAGAATGAAAACAACCCCTGGGGTCCGTAGAAAAGATCTGCTTACATCAATGAGCACATATCTGAAGTGAGAGTCGAAGTGGAGTTTGAGTTAGTCCTATTGCTCTATGTTATTAAAAAAAACTACTATTGGGAGAAGGGTGTTAGATGAGAGTAAAAGGGATCGAATATGTGGTAATGGAAGGAGAACTGACTCTGGGTGGTGAACACACAAGGTGATATATAGATGATGTATTACAGAATTATACACCTGAAACCTATGTAACTTTACTAATCATTGTCACCCCAATAAACTTTAATTAAAAAAAGGAAAAAAACTGCTGATAATGTATGGACAACCAGTTTTGTCCAGAGAGTGGTTCTGGGCTGACAATGTACAAACACCGAACTCAGTCCACAAGCCTGGCAGTGGGTTGTAGGCTGTGGTTCTAGAGATGAGTCAGTCATTCTCTGGCTCCGAGACACTCAGTCTGGTGGGGAAGCCAGGCGCATATACAATGAAATAAGTGCCTAATACATGGCTCTATGAGAAAGAACTCCAGAGGGAAGTACCCAACCACACGGCGGGGGCGGGATGAGGGGGAACGAAGGATGGGGGAGGGGAGGTGGGCTACAGGGGTCAGGATTCTTCCCAGAAGAGGTGATTCATCATCTGGTGGAGAGGCAAGCCAAGTCAGCAAGGTAGAGTGCAACTCATCAAACCAGAAACCGGAGACGGGGTTAGCATCAGAGACAGGCTGCTGGTCTGGGCTTCTGGTTCTTGTTAGCACTTACAGTTCCCGAGACACCAGAGCCTGAAAGAACTGCTCTTCTGTTCAGTCATTCTTAATGGCCAAGGAAAATGCCATCTTGACTGTTTTATGCAAGATCAGTGCCCCCACACTCTGTATAGAAATCTACTAAATATTCTAAGGCTTTGATTTTTGGTCCTTCTCAAAAATAGACCCAAGTCTGAGAAGTGGACACGTTCCAAACTCCAAACCCAGGAAGCCCTGAAGTGGTCCCCTGGGCCCTGTCCACTCTATCCCATCAATAACTCATGGCACATTGTGCTGGTGCCACACAGACACTGCTCATGCCCTTTCCAGACACATACAGTTCTCGTCACATACAGTTTAAAGGAGGCAAGGAGGGGCAGCACATGTGTGTTTCTGAGTGTGTGTGTGTGTGTGTGTGTGTGTGTGTGTCTGTGTGATGGGCAAACAGCAGACGCCTCTGTGTGTCCAAGTCTTACGGCGCCCTTGAGACAGACGTGCCAGAGTTCTGCCCGGCTGGGAGGGGCACGAAGCTCAGGGCACCGCTTGGAGAGGCTCGGCTTGGTGATGGAAGTCCAACACAACATGCAGCTTTTAAAACATGCTTGTTTAGATACAAAGTTCATCCAAGACCCCATAAATAAGACCTTGGCCTGTTTTCTTAGAGGATTGTGACAGTTGTGGCCTTATTTTAGCTTTAGCTTTGGGGACTCAGAGGTGATTGCTTCAAACCAGGAAATTAATAAATAAAGCAGCAGAAGGGACGCGCACAGGGTCATGAGGCCTAGGTTTTCATGCCACTTCTTTCTTGGTAACTGTTTCCAGATGTGGGGGCTGGCACAGTGTCAGCTCGGTGACAATAACTAATGCAAGTCCTCCCTCCCCAGTGAACAGCAGGCAGCTACCGGTCCTGGAGGAACAGCCTGGCTGTGTTTTCACTTCAGAGGACTCAGCTTGGCAGGAAGCATGGTCCTTGTGGATTGTTTACCTGGCGTAGGCCATGGAGTCGATGACAGCCAAACACAAGAACCTCAATGCAAAGTGTCTCCTGAAAAAGATTATGGCAACGGCGTCCTTATATAACAGTAGTTCCAAACAGTGGAGAAAGATGGGGCTGGATTGGAGGTCACACATCTCATCCCCAGGGTAATGGTGCACGTGTGGTCATTAGTCCGGGATGCTGTCCTGACCATTGATGAAATGCTTCCACTCGAGTTCCCGAGAGGGGAGGCGAGGAATGGTTTTGACCTGACTTCAGGGTGCTTATACTCTGAGATGGGGTGCATACCCGTGAAGCAAAGCCAGAGGAGTGAGTGGGGCACGACGAGATTTGGCAGGGAAGACATCCTGGAAAACATGCACATCAAAGGCCTCGTGAAGGACAGTTGCGCCTTTTTTCAGTAGCAAAAAGAGGTGCTCTTAGGAAATGGCAGATTCTGGCATGGCTCAAGTGGCCAGTCCCCACATGGCGGGGAACTTCGCTCTGCAGACTGGACCTTAGTCTGGCCCAAGGCCTGGAGGCCAGGCCAGTGGAGCCCAGGCTTCTCACGTTCTGCTTCAGTTCCCTTCTGACTTCTGGGCACATTCCTCCTTCTGCTGAGGTTTATTTGCCAACCAACCTGCTCATCACGACCACAGGGAAAGTCAACTCTGAATTTTTAAAACTGGAAAACTATAAATCAGTTTGACAGAAATGTGGCCCTCTCCGGCAGTCAGGGAGTGAGTCCGCCTGTGCGGTGGTGTCACCGACCCCTTGGAGCCAACTGGAAGAATGAACTTCATTGCTTTCTATACACGAGCAGCAGTGACTTGTGGATTTCCAGGAAAATCCCACAACTGGGAATGCTCTGAAAGAGTCCAGAAAAATGCGTGCTTTCATGCCTCAAAGGACATGTCCGATCTCCATTGGTTCTGATTTGTCAGTGACCAGGGCTTGTTCCCTGAGAAATTTGCAGGAGTTCATTTTGCAGACTTGACCTGGAAGCCCCAAAGGGTATGAGGGAGATTCGGAAAGCTTGTGGTGTCCAGGGCGACTCTGGGGAAGCAAGAAAGGCTGAGTCTGGTGCTGGCGACGGGGTCCGGCCTGCCAGGGATAGAGCGAGAGTGCTGATGGACAATCGTGCTCCCCATCCCTGCTGCTGACTATGTGCCCTTCCTTGGTCTTGGATGGGAGAGACAGGCTGAGCATTTCATCCATCCCACAGGCCCCCAGCCCCAGCCCCAGGGCCCCTGGCTGCATACACACATCTTTTGCAGGTGAAATGCTCCTAATAATTCTGATTTTGGAACAATGCATGAAAAGACATTTCAGAGCACAGCTTCATGGGGCTTCACGTCTCAGTGGCCAAACAGGTGGCGTTCTGTTAACCCCTTTTTTTGGCTAGATGGGTTCCATGCAGTGCTGCTCAGGCCCACGGATGTATGAAATGAGCTCTGGAGAAGTTCCTCAAGGCATCCTTTTCTAGAAGTTCAACACCCAGTGAGCATTTATTAAAGGGTCAGCTGTGGGTGTTGCATAATTGAGCCAATATGAGGGTAAACACAAAAGATGTAGAAGATTGTGCCTTCCAGAAGCAACCCATCATCTGGAGGGTCAACACAAGGGAGGAGATGAAGACTGAAAAGCCTTCATCGCTATGGCCAAGGTCACTAAAGTCTTTTCTGCTTGCAGGGCCCAGCACACTCTCCCCTCCAGGCCTGTGAATGCACTGTCCCTGCTAGCTGGCTTCCACTTGTCCATTTAAGTTTAGTTTGGACAACACATTCTGCAGGAAGCCTTCCCTTCCTTGATGCCCTTTCTCTGGACTTGCACTGACCGCCGTTTTTCTACTACTGTGGCATCTGTCAGGTTGTAACACTCTGGTGATATCTAGACTGCAAGTTTGGAGAGGGCAGGAGAAATGCCTGCCCCATTCACTCCCCTATTCCCAGCATCCATTCATTGATTCATTAACTTATTGATGGAGTACATAGCATGAGCCATTCAGATGATCAAAGAAGAGAAAGGTCATCGTGAGACTTTATTACTGGGGGAGGCATGTTGGAGGAGGTGCATTGTGAGGTCTTCTTTGAGGAAGTTTGAAAAGGGAAGACAGAAGGAGGCACGGAACCTAGTTGAATCATGCTCCCCCCCCCTACATCCCCCCAGATGTCTGGGCTTCCATGGAAATAAAATCTGGGAACCATTAATAAGTGGGAAGGGTGCTCCCATTCGAGGAGTTCCTACCACATGCCAAGACAGTTTTCCAGATGCCAACCATGGTAATAATATCTGCCATTCACCCAGAGCTGGCTGCAGGCCAGGCCACTCCTTGGGCTCTCTCATTTGATCTTTCAACAAGCCTGATGAGTAGAGATGGTTGTCCCTGTTTTTACAGATGAGGGGCTGAACCTCAGAAAGGGTGGGAATGGGCCAAGACCGCACAGTCACTGAGCCAAAACTTGAAGTTATATTTAAAGATTTTTATCCTACGTTTATATGGCTGCCAAAAATGCCAGAGCACCCCACTGTGAATATGTACATTACATTATGCTTTTGTCAGAGTATTGGAAGTGTAGACTTGGTTCATACAATTTATAGAAAATGTCTGTCATATATCAGCTCTACCCCTGACCAGCCACGTGACCTTGGGCAAGTTATTAACCTCTTACACGCCAATGTTCTCTATACATTAGCAATGATAATAGTACCTACCAATAGAGCTGTTGGGAGGACTAAATGAGTTAATTCATATAAAGTGTTTAAAATAGGGACTAGTCCACACTGCTATATAGGTGTTTGCTATCACTATCACTATTATTATTATTACTATTATTATTATTACTATTATTATATGATCTAACTATGAAGCCAGTCCTCATTGTCAACATTAGCCAAAGCAGACGTATTTTTGGTCAGAAAAGTACAACTTCATTTTTGAATTCAAATAAACGAATCACTACCTGCCCCCTTGACAACCATCCCTTTTATGAATTCTAAGTCTAGCAGAGCTAGAACCTTGGTAGCATCTTAGAATCACTGATCACGGACAGCTTCTCACAAATCCTGATGCCTGGGGCCATACCGCCGACCAGTGAAACCCAGCACCCTGGTCCTGGGGTCCAAGCAGCCGTTTTAAGTTCCCAGGGTGATTTCCCTATGGGGCCAATGATGAGAGCCACTGATGCAGACACGTCTGCAGTAGGGGGCCAAGCCTTCCGCCCCCATTTACAGTGGCATGTTCATCTCCTGTCACCTGGGCTACGAGGGCGGCCCAGCCCTGTCCACCCTCCCCAATCTGACCCTGCAACTGTCCCCAGCCTTTTCTCCAAACAGTCGCCCAACCAAACTGGAGACTTGCTCTTGCCCCAATATGCCTCAAAGCTTCCCACGTGTTCACCTTTGATCTGTCTGTCTTCTGCTCCATTTCTGGCTCAAATCCTGCCCATCTTTTGAGGCACCTCTTAAATGCAGTTTCTCCACCTCTTCCCCTCTGCCTGGTGGTTTTTTCTGACTTTCTCATGGCCGTTCATAGTTTCTACTTTGGATTCACATTGCGTGACTTCTTTCTCCATCCCACCCCACTCCTTAGGATAAAGGCTGCACGGGCAGAGTGGGGTCCCACTTTCCCTTGCTTTCCTGGCCCTTGGCTTGGTACACAAGAGCTACGCACACACAACTGCATCTCCTCACCCCTCTCCTTCCCCAGGCAGAGGGCAGGCCCAGCACAATTCCAAGAGCCTAGAAAATTCGGACAGGGCCTGAGAGTCCCTGCAGTGTGGCAGACCATCTCCACCACTGCTGGGGGTCATTTGGCATGCCAATTTGCTTCATTAAATTAAAGCTATTTTAAATGACTACTCTAAGAAGGGTGGGCAAAACCCACATTAGGCAATTTGCTTTGGTTTCTGCAACATAAAATTTGCCTGGAAATAGAAAGGTTTCTATCATGTGTAGCAATGTTAATACAGAACTTCAAATGGGGGCCCCCTCCCTTCGAAATAATAGCCTTACTCTTTGCTGGCACGAGATAGGTTTGTTACCACCGCCAGCAGCTCTCTGACCACCACACTTCAAAGGAGATGTTCTCCGATAGCTCCTTCCAGCTCACTCTGGCAGCCTGAGCCTGACCTCAGTTCAAGCCCATAAACAACGTTCTTCTAATGCAGAGACTCGCGGCAGGATTTGGGCTTGTGCTCCTCTGTCTTCCCTTCATGCTACGGAAATCACTTACTAATTCGCGCTTGTAAAATTCAGACATAGTTCACGTCTAGAAACAGGATCCAGGGATCTGGGCTCCCAGCGACTGCTCCTTCACGGCTGGTCGCCTTCTTCATTTCCACCCCCTCCCCCTTGCCAGGCACCCACTTTAATTTTAATTGAGATATAACTGACACACAATATTGTATTCGTTTCAGGTGTACCACATCATGATTTGATATAGAGAGCGAAACGATTACCATAATAAATTTGGTTAACATCCATCACCACACATAGTTAGCTACAAGTCTTTTTTTCTTGTGATGAGAACTTTTAAGATTTGCTGCCCTAGCAACTTTCAAATACACAGTACAGCATCATTACCAATAGTCACCATGCTGTGCATTACATCCCCAGGACTTACTTATTTTATGACTGGAAGTTTGGAGCTTTTGACCCCCTTTCGCTGCTTCTGCGCTCCTACTCCCACGGCAACCACCAATCTGTTCTTTGTACCTACAAGCTTGGGTTTTTGTTTTCAGATTCCACACATAAGTGCGATCACACAGTCTTTGTCTTTCTTTCTCTGACTTATTTCACTTAGCATAATGTCCTCAAAGTCCATCCACGCTGTTGCGAATGGCAGGGTCCCCTTCTTTTTTTCTGAATAATATTTCACTGGGTGTATCTATATACACATGACATTTCCTTTTTCCATTCATCCACTGATAGACACTTGGTTGTTTCTATGTCTTCGCTGTTGTAAATAATGCTGCAGTGAACATGAGGGTGCAGATATCCTTTTGCGTTACTGATTTGGTACTTACTCTTCCTATGACTCTGCCGGTCCATATTTTAGACAGGGGTCTGGTAAGTATCCATGTGGATCACATTCAAAGTTCATGTTTTTCAATGAGATCAGAATTTGTACTGACAAGGTTACAGGCGTATGGCAGGATTTATGAAAGAGTCAGCAATTTTTTGCATTACCATCTTCTTGGCACCAAACCATAGCTCTCCAGTGAAATTTTAGAAAGCATGGCTTCCTTCATACATATGACTTAAGAGGACAGAGGTTTACCAGAGATGGAAATGAGTCGGTCTCTCTCTGTGTCTCACCTAGACAGGTGGTGTTAAGGCGGCACTCCGGCAGGGCCCCAGGTTAGAGCAGGGCAAATTTATATCACGTGTTTAAAAGACTCCCTTGACTGTTAGGCTCGGAATGGCTTGCAGAAGCTGCTGGGAGATATCCCGAGAAGATCTTTAGGAATATACGGCTGTCTAGCACTCTTGGCTGAGGACGATCTCTGCAGGGTGGGGAAGGGTGGGGAAAGGGGCCTTTGAAGGCTGCGTCTGTCCTGGGGCTTTGTGACATGTGGGGCCTGCCTCTGGCCAGAGCCAGGTAAAGCTCCAACTTTCACTCACGTGCCTGTATCTCAACGAAAGTTCCCAGCACATGGTGCAACTTCCACTCTACCGCGAGGCCCCCCTCTCACACAGAAACGTCAGCCCAGAGGAGAGAAAAATTAAGCTTTCAGGGCCAAACACCAAGAAACTTTTGTCTGCACATGCCTATACATTCATCTCTTCATAAACAATGCAATTGTCAAAGATCTGAATTCTGAACTGCCCCTTGTTTCCAAAAATTGTTTAGGAAGATGCCACTTCAAAGGCATTCAGAGATTTATACTTTCAGTTCAAAATTTCTGATGAGAACTGCAATTTTGCCATTTATAGGGAAAAGCATGAATTAGACACTTACAGTAAGAAGAGGAAATGGCTTACCAACTATCAGCGTTAATTTTCACAATTCCGTTTACGCAATACTCTACTTCTTCTTCCTCAATGAACATGAATAAGCAGTTGTCTGAAATATTAAATATACAAAACCACAGCAAATACTAATACATCCTAAAATTGTGTATGTGTGCTCTTTATGTACAAAGAAAAGCTAATGGCATAACAAAAAGAAAGGACTAAATAAGGGAGCGATCCCTCCCCGTCCCCGACTTCCTTGGAGATTCTGGGAAACCATTTTTTAGTTTCTTTCTGATTTTCAAAAGCATAGGCTGATAACAACAAATACCTTTTAAATCTTTGGCTACAACCACCCAGAGTAAATCACTCCCTTATTAACCTAGGGAGAATAATTATCAAGTAATAGGTCCTCTCTTGTTCCTCAGCCATGATTTGTTACAAATACATCCATTCAGTCCACATTCATTTTTTTCACAAACTAGGGCTGCCAAAAAAATGTACATACATGACTTGTATTCATCTTTTGTTATCGGCATATATTGAGTATTACAATTTTAATACAGTTTTTTTTTGCTTTCTTAACATGTGTATACATTTTGTTTTGGCACCCTCTATATATGAATACTTAGACATTGGAATAAGTTGCCTGTTAGCTGCCATTGCTTTTTAACTTAAAAAAATTTAGGAGTATCAAATAAAAAATATTTCAAAGCTTAGAACAAATCTTCTCCTTGTATCCCCAACTACTTTACATCTCTTATCACAAGGTTAGATTAAGCAATACTTTGGCTGGTTTCCCAAACACCCAGACATATTTTATGTGAAGTGTGAGTCATGGCAGCATTGCTTTTAGGGTTCGAGACAGTCTCCTTGGAGTGAAGAATAAATGGCAGACTTAAGGTATTGGTGATGATGGATTGGGAACTAGACATGTATCCAACTGAAGAAAAACAAAACAGGAAAATGTTACTTGCCAACTTCAAATAAAAAAAGCTAACTGTCTCATATGAGTTGTGTCAGCTAAGAAGTATGATGTCGTGGCAGAGCCTGGAAAGAACAGACACGAGCAGTATAAGCTCCCACATGAATGAAATAATTTAAAATCTAGAGTAAAATGTGGACTTCTAAGGGTTTCATGGAAAAAAAATTGACGTCTTTCCTCCATCCAATGTTTTCTGTGTGTTAAAGTTTTATGATGGCACTTTCAACAGACAGTGAAGTCAGTTATTTCCTAAAATGTTGAGTTTAATCCAAATGCTATTTAACACATGTGTGATGACACAAAAATGATTAATGTATTTGTATCTAGATCCTTTGCCCTCTGACATCCCCATCTGAGGAGAGTTTCATTTCTGCCAGAGAACTTATGGAATGTTTGTGTTTTTGAATTACGATACCAGACCAAGGGAAAGAGAACCACAGAAGCAGAAGGAAAAGGAGAAAATTTGATCTGACTCAGGGCTGTCCCATACAAACACAATGTGAGCTACATATGTAATTTTACGTTTTCTAGTAGCCATCTTAAAAAGTAAAAAGAAACAGGTGAACTTAATCTTAGATATATTTTACTAAACCCAATATATGTAAAACATTGCAACATGTAATCCATGTGGAAAATTATTAGTCAGATAGTTTACATTTCTTTTTTTTTTTTTATGCCAAGTCTTCACAATCCAGTGTGTATTTTACACTGAAAGCACATCTCAATTCAGACTGGACACATTTCAAGTGCTTAATAGCTATATGTAGCTAGTGGCTACCATAGTAGACAGTGCAAACCTAGATAAAAACTTACTGGGATGGGAGAGTAAAAATAAAGCAGAAAATCCACGTGGGCTGTGGGTTTAGGAGTTATGGCAAAGGTAAGGATATTGAAGAGAGGTGTTCTGGTACCGCTGTGAGCCTGTCAGGTAAATGTGTACAAATCCTGTGAAGCAGGTATTAGACCCCTTTCAGAATTTTCAAAGAGTAAAAATATGATATTTCAGTTATTGTGAAATTAATTTTGGTAGATGGACTGTGTTTCTTGAAACTGGACCACTTGATCCTGACTTTATAAGGGTTATATATGCAACATGGATAGAGGAGAGGGAGACAAAAATGTAGAGCAGAAAAATGCTGTGGTGTGGGCAGAGGCCAGGGCTATATTATTATCTAGACCTGCATGAGGAATGCCTGCCCCTTGTCTGGGGAAAGGGGGGTGCACGACCACCCCAGGAGAGCATCAAGTCAGTACATCAATCAGATACAAGAGAGGATGTCAATTTGAATGGCCCATTGGGGTTATGGAGAGTGGTCGCGAAACCCCTAGAGGAGATAGGCATGGTCACGTGCCACAGATCCTGCCATGTGGTGTAATAAGGGGTGGTCACCGTGGGCAAAGCAGCACGGAACAGAATAAAGGACGCCTACAAGTCAACCTGCTGTCCCCAGGTGCTGCAGACTAATGGTGCACAGTCAGAACACGGACAGGAGATAGGCTGACACTCAGGCTTTCATATGCAGCTCCTGCCCTAGAGTCCGGGTAGCCAAGAGCTGTAAACTCATCCTGTGTCAGGTGGGAGTAAAAGTCATCCCAAATCAGTATGTCAGTGCCATTTTGGTGGCCCAGTCTTGTGAGATCTTATGAAAGAAATACCACGCTGCCCTGTGAGAGTGATCTACTCACTATACCATCTTCCTGGAACTGGAGTCTGTTCACAGGTCCCAGAATAGTCCCATTGATGTGGGTCCTGAGGTTCCTTGGAGCATCTGGTCCACCTGCATAGGGGAAGGAGAGAACGTGAGTGCCCTAAGTGGAAGAAATGAGAACCAGAGTTTCTACGAATGGAACTGGTGGCTCCAGCTGGTCCCAGGCATCAGAGAGGACTTAGAAAATTTCATGGAAGTGACTTCAAAGCATGGGGCCCAGAATAGAGACCCCACTTTGCAGGTCTCAGGGCATTTGGGAGGAAGCTCTCCTAGAGAAAGAGAGAATGAAGTCAGTAAAAGAGAGAAACAGAGTAGAAGAAACCAAGTGACAGAGACACTCCTGCTGACACTGAGCCCTTGAGGCCAGTTCAACCCCTGCAATGATCACTTTTGGCAGCCAAGAAATTCTCTTTCTGACATTAGCTAGTTTGTATGGTGTCTCTGTCACTTGCAACTAAAAGAGCCCTGGATGACGCTGAATTGTTCAGCGCTTTCAAGACCAAAGTTGTGGTTTCCATCCTTATAGGAAACATGCCCTGTCTCCCGGTCCCAGGACCAAGGACATCCATCCCTCTCCTCTGGTGACCCAACACACACCAGAGGTGCTGAGCAAGCAAGCTTGTAGCAAAAGTACAGCCCAAATCATATCCCTCCCTAGAAAAAAACATGAGTGTGTAAAGGGTCATCCCCACAGGAGGATGAGACCCTGGTTTTATGGTGAGGTCTTCTCAAAAACGCCTCCTCGAGGAGGTTTGTGCCACGCTCCTCCACCCAGCTGGAAGTCCTTTAGTGGCTTCACAATGCATTTAGAGTACTGTGATCTGACCCAGGCCTACATGCTGCTTCAATCTCATGCCATCCACTCCCCGCTCCCACTTTGTGCTCTTCAGCCATTCTGAATGTCTTCCTGCTTCTTTCACACGCCAAGTTTAGTTCTGCCACAGGGCCTTTGCACTGGCTATGGACGCCATCTGGAATGCTCTTTCCTTTGTCTCACTTCTCCCCCCACTGTCTCCCCTTCCCAGATCTCACTTTAAAGGAGACAGGTCTGACCCCAATCACTCTCTATCATCCTATTTTCATTCCTTTAACAACAACGGTTGCTATTTGATTTGTTTTGTTGCTTATTATCTGTCTCCTATGACATTTAAACTCCTTGTGGGTAGGAATCTTATTGGTCTTGTTCACTGCCATATCCCCAGTATCTAAAAGAATACCTGGCACATAGCAGGTACTCAATAAATATTTATCAATTACATAAACTGAAGGCGCACAGGCTAATGTGGTTGACAGATACGGCTGTCTTCCGGGGAATGTCATCGTCTCGGCTCTTCAGGTAAGTCTAGAACTGTCATTTATTTGGCTTAACGCATCACTGGGGAGCATGCATTCCGCATAAGCTCCATCTGAGGTCACAAATGGACATGGCCCTTAACCTACAAGAGTGCAGACTGATGGGAGAGACAAAGACGTTGTGGGAAGTGCTGGGACCCAGCTGGGGAATAAAACAGGAAAGCCCGGTCTTCCTGTTGGGCCCAGACATTCAGGCAGTCAAGTCCGGGGAAGCCACAGAGGGAGATCCTTTGGGATGCGTACATTTCCCCCTTTTGCGACGCCTCGCAGATATAAATTATAAAAGCAATTCTCCCTACTGTTCTCTCTCCTAAAGGATGGGTATATGCGAGGGGCCCAAGTATGAGCAGTTTACTTAAAAAAAAGGAAAGCTGGAAACTCAGGTACTGGGAGGCTTTGTGACTATTCTGTTTGCATGTCAACAGCCAATTAGATTACTTGTGCCCCTCAAGTGGATGTTGCATTAACCTGAGTATCTGGTTTTGCCGGTATTTTATAATCTGCTAAATTAGCTAATGGCCCCTCCTATCCTGGTTTGGGGTAAGGAGATGTCAAATGAAACATATGAGTGCTCGGGAGGACAGCCAGCCAGCAGTGGCCCCACAGGAGTCCCTGGGTTCAGGGCTTCCATCCCATTGCCCCAAGGGGGATCACACCTAAGACCAGCCTCATCAGACAGCAGCGTGCCACCCAGCTCTTCACCACAGTGCTGACTCACCTCCACCTGTCATGCTCACATAGACTATGGAATTCAGAAAACAAGGAAATCCACCTGAAGCACAGGAGGCTCCGGGCCAGGTCTTGAGGTCTTTGCATCCCCCGATGTATCAGAAGTTACTCACTGTGCCTAAGACTCCTTGTATGAACTTGGCCCAACAAAGGGGTTGTGTTTCATGGTCAGAATAAAGCAACATCCAGCTCCTTATGGTTAAACTATGAGTCAGTCATAAAAGGGTGAACGGGCTCCTTACTTTTAAAAGGAAGCCTGAAATTCATTTTCTGCTACATTAAACACACATATGCACACAGGCAGGATGATTCAAATAGACAGGACCTTTGTAAAGTGCAAACTCATACAATTTACAGGCTACCTTGTCTAAGGAAATCTAACAGACACAGAGATGGGCTAGAGAGGTTGGAATTGAGCACCCCTGGTGGGACACAGGGCAGCCCCTGGCACCGAGGCTGGACACCAGGAGGTTAAGATCCTGGGAGGTTAAGTTTCTGTTTCTTTGGCCACTAGAGGTGACTGATCAGCTCAAAGTCAGCTGACCCCTCCTTTCTACAGTATTCCCACCAAATCACAGCTGCCAAAGTAGATGAGGATTGCTGGAGCGTAAGGCATACTGGAAACTCTCTAGACCAATCTCCTCATTTGTAAACAAGGCAAGAGAGTTCCAGAAGGGAGCCCTGCCTTGTCTGAGGTCACACAACAAGTCCATGCTGAAGTCAGGAACGCGGAGCCAGAATTCTCCATCCCCAGCCCACTGCACTCCTAGTGCACCCATCACAACACTGGCTGGTTATTGTGAGTTATTTTCCATGTGTGTCTGTCCCCACTCCCTAATGAGACTCTAGTCTCTATTGATTACTTACCTTGCTTTATTCTTTGTGATCCCCGGTAATCCCTTAATTAGAAGGTTCCTTAAGACTTCAGTTTTAATATGATGCTTGGTTAATAGCTGCCAACAGAGCTGCTCCCAACTTCTTATGAAAACACCTAAGACAACATCGACAAAAGTAGAAACCTCATTCTGTGAATTAGACTCAAAATTTAACCAAAGGCCAGGCAAGGAACTGTGTTAAAAATACCATTTCAGGACCATTCCCTCTGTGTGCCAGGGAGCCAGCCCCTAACACCGGAGCACAAGGGCTGAGCTGTCCAAAGTGCTCTCTGCCTGCACAGGCCCCACTCTCTTCAGGGCCTGGGAAGTGTGGATGGAGAGTAGCTGGGCTCCTTGGTAACCCAGGAGGGGTCTTCGCAGACATGGCACTACAGCCACAGTCTGCAGACAGCAGAGCCCAGAGGCAGGCATGCTGGGGCCCCGTTCTTTCCATGCACTCCATTTCTTTAATGTGTCAGAGAGCTACAGGGTCGTGGAGGAGAAACATTTACTGAACAGATGTTCAGTAAATAAGAACCTGCTGGTCACTAGGAACAAGGCCAGAAAATTGCTCCACCATCTATGACTCAACTCTTGGACAGAGATTTTGACAGACACCCCTGATGACAGAGGCAGCAACAAGCATAAACCCCCACAACCTCTCTACTGATGATGACTAGATCTAGACAGATGTTCCATGGTTTGAGGCTCAGTAGAGGGGGAGAAAACAACAAGAAAATAATCATGCAACATCTGGAAAAAAGCACTCACGTCTACAGTTACAAAGTTTTAATGCAATACCAGAAAAGCAAAACACCTGAATTAGGTCCAGAAGCAGCAGAACTGATACCGTAGAAGTGAATTAATCAGTAATGAGGAGGACAAATCTGAGACTCAAAGAGAATGCAGAGGAGAAAGGCAAAGTGATGAAAATGATGAGGAAGAAAAGGATAGGTTGTGTCCTCATTCTCTAGTCTACCAAATCCAAGAGCTATCTACTTGTACAATCAGAACAAATGCAGTAATAAAAGATATAATTAAAGAAAATTTTATTCCATCTGCAAATCGAAAGAGTTCATAGTATTCTAAGCAAAAATAAATTTAAAGGGGGCTGTGTAGAAAAGAGTTAACACAGCAGGCCTGAAATTGCTATTCTTAGAAAGATTTGGATGCTGGTGTTTGGGAACTTGGCTGGTAAATAGTTCCCTACATTGATATAAAACCTTGCGTAAATGGTAAGAGCGGCTCACTGTGCCTAAACTGTTTTTATAAAAACTGTGGCTTATGCTGAACACCTGCTTTCCAGCTGGGAGTCTGAAATTGTGAGACCTACTAGGTAGAATATCTGTATGATCAGACTCCATTGAAAAACCTTGAGTTGAGTCTTTTAATGGACTTCCCTGGGCAGACATGTTGCACATATGTTGTCCCATTTTCCTTGCCGGGGAAAGAGTGGGCTGTGTGTGGCCTCTAAGGAGGAAGAGAGCATAAAGAAGCCTGTGCATATAGTCCTCCAGATTTGTCTGTGCCTTTTTCCCTTTTAAGGCAGTTGAACGTCCTTACTACATTGCTGAAATAAATCTTAACCATGAGTACACTTAATGCGGGGTTTTGTGAGTCATTTTAGTGAATTTCCAAACATAGCAAAGGCCTTGGGGACCCCTGACACAACGGCTTCACTTAAAACTCGTTCTAGCAAAATATTTGAAGTATAAGAATAATTTACTTTTATAAGAATCAAAAAAAGAAAAAAACCAACTACTGACTAAGAATATAAAAATTGGCTGCCTTTAGACTTTTCCTTCGTCACCCTATATGGAGCAGCTTTTAGAGGGTTTTGAAGGGAGAAACATGGGGCCCAATAATTTTGTAGCCTTCATTGTAAAGGCAATAGACAGACATTCTTCAACATGCAAGGACTCAAAATAGATACATACTAGCGACTGAGATCACAAACTTTAAAAATGTGAGAGTAGGGACTTCTAGATACGCAGTTCTTCTTTTACAGAAATCCCAAATTCAAAAGCCAGTTGGATTGCCTTATTGGAGAACTATGCAACTTTAGGCTTAACCCTTTGCCAGTTCCCTCAGCTGTTCTCCTGCTTTTTCAGTTTGAGATCAAGAAATGAATTTCTTGTGCCATGTCTCTCACCACACAATTGAGGAGGAATCGTCCGCCGTGGTAGATGGCCACTTAAACTGTTAGGCAGCATAGTTCTGTTCTTAATGATTGCTAAGCATACAGGATAGCATTAGGTCTCAATTTATAAGAGTTATTGCACTGAGGACTGTGGTGTTGAGTAGGATTCTGAGCCACACAGGAGGTCCATGGGAGAGGATTAAGGGGATCGGTGAGTGATGCCTAACCTGGGGGAAAAACAAACGGAGCATGGCAGTACATGTGTCACTCATTTGCTACCCTGATCACATACTCAGGATATTGTGGTTTAAAAATTAATTTAAAAAATTACTTTTTGTCTACAAAAGAATAGCTGCATAGTGCAAGAAAAAAGGGCCATTTACAGTTCGAGAAGCTTGAGTAATAATTTTCTGCATTAAAGGAAGTCACACTGGGAAAAAAATTACTCCCACTGAGTGACATAAGCCAGTGTATGTGTGTGTGTGTGTGTGTGTGTGTGTGTGTGTGACATGGGAAAGTCGATAAAGCACGCAGATGCAATGACTAGGTGTCATCAGTAGTATCAAAATTTTTTATTTGGACCTCTAACTGCTCCTTGGTTAACTATGCTTTAAAAAGCAATTATGTAATATAATCCCAACTGTATAAAAGTAATGCATATTAAGACAACAGAATGGTGGTTACCAGAGGGGAAAGGGGGTATGAGGTGGACAAGGATAAAGGGGGTCATGTATATGGTGATGGAAGGAGACTAGGCTTCACATGGTGAGCACACACTAGAGTAGACAGATGTCGTATTATAAGGTTGTACGCCTGAAATTTATAGAATGTGATTAACCAACGTTACCCCACTACACTTAATTTAAAAAGTCATCAAGGGACTCTACCAAAAGCGTTCATCAAGGTTACCTGGATGCGGGATTTCTGAGTGATTTTGGACTTCCTTCTATTATTTGTCCTGCCTATTCCTGGTCTGCATCACTGTCAGATCCACTCTCCATTTTCTCTACCTTCTGTGACCCAGGGCCTGTAACCTCCATAGGGCACATTGCCCAGCTCTCTTGCCCTCTGGCTTTCTGGCGGGGTGTGCCAATGGGGGTATCTGGAAGAGATCAGAGAGAAGAAGGAGAGAGAGGCCAGAGAAATGTAAACGTTGGAATAACATTGGCAAGTGGTGGTCTTTCTCGGCAGTGTGATGGGTCACTCATACACACAGGGCACTGCTCTCCTTCCTGTACTTGGCTTCTGTTCCCCAGGCACGGGAATAAATCACATCATCTCTACATGTTGCACAAATCAGAATCTGCTCAAAACCTGTTCACCTGGAGGGTTTCTAGTCCTTCCCGTGAGGAGGGCATCCAGAAGGCAGAGAGGGGTCTGGTACTGAGGACTGGAGGCTAAGGTTAGGATGAAAGCCTGGATTCTGAATTCTGCGGCAGAATACAGACTTTATCTTAACGTGGAAGGCATTGAGACTAGGAGCAGTTCTATGCTAAAAATGTGTCAAGTGATAAAACGTTAGCTTTATAATAATTATCAGGAAAAATCAAGCAAAACTTTCTGATATTTAAAGAAACCATTTATGAATCCCAAAATTAGATAAGAAATGGGGAGATCTTCCTTACAAGTTTGAAAAATCAGACCAGAAATGAACATAAACTTCTCTTATACTTGCGTTATAAAATAAAATAACTGTGTTAGTCTACATCTTGATTTCACTGTCGATGGGTTTCCTAGTTTTGTTTTCTGAGTGACCTATTTTGACATCTTGGTTCTTCAGTTCATATCATGACAAGTTCTACATTTAATACTAATGCTTATATAATATTGTTGGGGAAACAAAAGGAAGTTGAAAAAATAACATAGTAAAGGAAGAAAGTACAAAGAAAGGGACTGATAGATCAGCTGCATAATGTTTTTAAACCTGACAAAAATACAAAAACATCATAAGATAAAAAGGCAAATGACTGAGATACGTATTTACCAAACAGGCATCCAAGGATCCATATCCTTAATGTAATAAACTTTTGCAAGTCGATTTAAAAATGAATTATATGTTGGGTCGTCGGGAAAGGCATGATGCATTTTTTTTGCACTGAAAAACATAGAAAAATACGTCATGACTTTCCCGACGACCCAATAGTAGAAAACTGGGTAAAGAGAATGAACAGTAAATTCACAAAAAAATAAATCAAAATTGACAATGAAAGAATGGAGATAGTTCACTGTTTGATCACTAAACAAATGAGTTGAAAGTTTAAAACAATCCTTGCCAATTTGACAGATGAAAGACTGTAACACCCAGTGTTGCACGTATAACTTTTCTAAAAGACAATGTCCCACATCTTTCAAAACTCTTTCAACGATGCATGCCCATCCACACAGAAATTCCACTACTACCAAATCGTGGGAGTTAGGTTTCAAGACATCTGTACTGAATGAGCAGGGCAGGATTATAATGGCAAAATTTGGAACAATCCAAAATTAGGAGACTGACTAAATAGGTTAAGCTAAGTCTATGGAAGGGAATATACACAGCAGTAAACATGATGTGTAGAGGGCTATAGCTTGAACGAGAAAGTCGTCCCGATCTATTGTTTGGTGAAAAACAGGACACAGACCAGCTTGAATTCCACACAGATGTGTCTTGTTGGGTAGTTCTGAGCTGTGGAATCTCAAGTACCCAGCCTGTACTGAATCCTGACCCCACCCATCTCCCTCGGTAACTCTGGGCAAATTTCCTGCCCCTTCGAAACTGCCGTGTCTTCATTGATAAAAATGGTGCTAATAAAAAGACTTATCTTACAGGGTTGTACCATATGCAGCCTGAGATCATCCAGGCAAAGTATTTACTGCACTGCCTGACTCAGAGCTGCCCATTAGGTCACTGTTTTTAAATATAATGCTGAAAATTATTCATGGAAAATAGACCAATGGAACCCACATGGAAGCCCTTGGTAGTGGGGTTGTCACTAGTTTTTGCTTCTTTTTACTCCTCTAGGTTTTCTGCATCAAATGTAGATTGTACTCATGATGTTAAAACACACAGTGCGTATCACATTACAAAGAGGTCACCAGGAGGCTTGGGGAAACAGCTGAAACCCATCTTTCTAGGAAGAAAAGAAAGAAGAAAATGGCCAAATGAGGGGGAACCACCCCCACACTCTAGGAAACAAGCTCCCAGCCTCTGGGCTGCTCCCCAGCCTCCCGGGCAGCAGGCCCAGGGTCACCAGTGTGGCTGCTCCGGGTGCGGGCTGCACACTGGCCCATTGTCTGCCCACGGCCCCACTGCGGTCAATGAGAAGCAGATGGCCACGGTGCCCTGCACATACTGCGCTTGCCCCTCATACACCTCGGCTGCAGGGCCTGCTTTGAGCCGCCAGCGAGACAATCTGCTTTTCATTTGATAGGCAGAGAAAAGCCACAGAGGAAGAAGGGAGGGAGGCCATAGTTTCAGGGTGTCGGGGGAGTTGATGCAAGAATAATTCAATTCGCCCTTACTCCAAAAGGCAAGGCAGTCCAACCCCACAGGATGCCTGCAGCGAGGGCCTGTAAACTCAAACTCACCTCAAACTACCTCCGGTGGACACAAGCCAACCCCGGAACATGCGGTCTGGGACCCAAGGCTCCGGGCTCTTTGGACCAGCAGGGGTGTCTTCAGTTTGCATTGTGAAGAGGAGCTGGAGGACCGTGGAGGGGCCGCAGAGCAGCAGGCCTCACCCTGCAGCCAAAGGAATCACGGAGTCATGGTAACTGGAGCCACGGATAGCCATGTGGCCTGCGGGGCCAATCCCTCCCCTCGCCTGGAGGCGCCATCTTTCCTAGGTAGGAGCTGGGGCTCTGCCCTGTCTGTCCTGCTCAGGGTCTTACCCAGCTCTCTGCTTACTTGCTGTGTTACCTTAGGTGAGCTATTTAAACTCTCTGAGCCCTTGTCTCCTCATCAGACAGATGGGCATGAGGCTCATGTTACCTGATAGGAAAATACGTCAGCTGCAGGAGATAATCCATAGGAAGTGTCTACACAGTGCTTGGCACATAGGAGGTGCTCGCTCACTATCGGCTATTATCATTACTCTGCCAGATTCTCCCTGAGTCTTACTGCCCTTGTCTTTATACTGTCTTTACACTGTGGCACGCTCTTGTGCGTCATTTCTTCTCCTAGCAGCAACTGTTTTCAGTCTGTGCTCAAGGGTAGCCTCTACCTGTATACCACGTGTGGGTCCCCGCCTGCAGTCACTCATGATTTATGTTGTCTTTGGATGAGTCCAGATCATTGTTTGTGATCTCTCGCGACAGCCCAACACAGCCCAGTGCTTTTCCCCGTCAAGCAGTTGTGTAGCAGCGTAACAATTTCAAGAGCCAGAAAGGGAATTACAGTCAGTCCCAATAGAGAGGTGCTGCTCTGAAGCCTTATGATAAGGGACATAGGAGAAGAAGACCCAGAGCAGAGGGCAGCAAAGGCAGGTCTACGAAGTCAGCGGGGGAATGGTTCCGAGAGAAAGGGGAGCACACAGGGAGCATCCGAACAGGCACGCAGGCAGCTGCAGCTTGGCAAGACATCAGGGGAGATACAGAGTTTCCAAACTGTCAGGAAGGAGAAATGCTCACTGCCTCGTGGAGGGAAGTGGTGGCAGAAAAGCAAGCCCCTAAGAGAAAGGCATCATGAACACGAAAGTCTGGAAAAAACGAGAATCATCAAGATGCCTACACGATAGACAGATTATAGGTGTAGGGAAAGAAAAGAGGCATGTGCAGATGGCATGGTAATTGAGGCTTTCAGAAAGAGATGACACGTCAGGTGCTTCAAGGCATGTCCCAATCAGGTGAGGATGCGTTTGACTGGCAGCTTTCCCTGAACATGCTAATCACACGTATTTGTTCTCAAAAATAGCTTATTTGTCACGGTGGCTGAGGTGTGAGAGAACATATTCTCTCAGTGAGCAGGTGGGCAGTTCTCTGTGAATGACAGAAAATATGTGACTAAACACAATCACTTTTCATGAAGATTTCTGGATTGGGTCCTACAGCTACATCCCATAGAAGTCACTGATCAGGGGACTGGCTAGGTCGGGTGATCCCGGAGAAAAAGAGCAGGGGACAGCAAGACTGACAGTGACACCGTCCTTCATATCAGCAGGGTAGGCTAGGTCATGCTGCAGGAACCAACGACCCCCAAATCTCGGCGCTTTAAACAACAAAGGTTTATTTCTCATTCACACCACTTGTAAATAGTGGGTTGGCTGGCGCTTTGCTCGGCATCCCCCCCTAACCCCCCACCCCTCAGGGACCCACCATCTCAATCTTGCTAGTCGCTGTGGCAAAGGAAAAGAGCGTGAGGTAAAATGCACGCACTGGCTCTTAAAACTTGTGCTCAGAATGATACAGATCATACCTGCTCATGTTTCATTGGCCAAAGTAAGTCAGTCACATGGTCTTGCTGAATCACACAGGGGCTGGAAAGTCCAAACCTACCATGTGCTGCCCAGAAGGAGAAGAAACAGATGTGTGTAAACAGCCCTCTTGGCTACACCAACCATCTACTCCACAACATACCCACCTGCTTGTCACTTGGCCGTCCCACCCCTCAGCCTGCACCCCTCTCAGTGATTCTCAGCTATCTGTGCCCACGTGGTCAGCACCATCTTCAAGTCACATTTTAGATGAGGTGATTGGTAACAGTGCTTCCAACCTGACTCCATAATCATAACATGAGGGAAAAGACGACTCAGAGCAGAAGCTCTGACAAGATCTCGCCCACAGTCCCATTTACAGGTGGAGAAACAGGACGTCACAGGAGAACGTGTGGGAGGCAGGATTCTAAGAAGGCCCTCGAGATTCCTGTATAATCTCCCCCCATTGAGTGTGAGTGGGACCCAGAAATATGACGGGATATTACTCCAATGATTATGTTACTTTATAGGCAAAAGGGATTTTGCTGATATAACTAATTTGCATTAGTTAATTGCAGGCATAATCCCTTGGGTTCACGAAAAGGGAGGTTATTCTGGGATGTGTGGGGGGAGGGCCTGACAATCTGGTGAGCCCTCAGAAGAGACGAGAAGCAGTAGCAGGCACTCTCCTGCTGGCCATGCCATGTTATGAACAGCCTACAGAGGAGGCCACATGGCTAGGACCTGAAGGCAGCCTCTAGGTCAGCAAGAAAACAGGGACCTCAGCTCTACAACTGCAGGACCTGAATTCCACCCTGCATAAGGCTGGAAGAGGACCCTGGGATCCAAACAAAAACACAGCCCCGGGCTGACACCTGGATGCCAACCGGGTGAGGCTCTGAGCTGAGAACCCAGCTAACCTCACGCCCCGACTTCTAACTTGTGGAAACTGCGAATTTTTTTTAAAATTGCGTGCTTTCGCCACTAAGTTTGAGGGCGTTTGTTACACAGCAAAAGGGATTTAGAAAATGAAGTTCCATGACAGTGGCAGGTGTTGCGACTTCGAGCCCCTGTGCTTCGCTGCTCAACTCCTCTCCTGGGCATGGCTTTGCAGCTGGGGAGGCCAACCAGGCTTCACCCTTGAAGCTTTCAGGAAAACAAGCTCAAATAACACCCACCATGCTCTCTTTTCTCACATTCTTCACTCCATTCGAACCATCGCGCACAACTATCTTTCAAAACACCACAGGCAGACCTTGGAGGTATTGCAGGCTCGATTCCAGACCACTGCAGTAAAGCGAGTATCGCAATAAAGTGAGTCATAATCTTTTTGATGGTAGAGGGTCTTGTCTTGCCTTCCCTTTGTAACACAAAAGCAACACCTATGAAGTGCTATAAAGCAAAATGCAATGAAACGAGGTACGCCTGTACTTTCACCTACGCCCTTCTTCTGCTCAAAAACTGTAGCAGCTTCATTTTGCCTGGGACATCAATTCTGGGCTTCTGATCCCAGTGTTCAGGATTTCCACTCCCTCCTACGAACACACTCTGTTCCAGGTCCGATGGTATCTGCACGGCCCCTCTCACCTGCCAGGACTGCCCCTTCTATGCCCTTCCCCAGCTTGCTCCCAGGGGCACTGCCTCCTGTCCCCTGGTCATCTGATGGGGGCTTTAACATACCATCCCCCAATAGCATGAAATCGCCTGCAGTGGCTCCCGCCCACTGTACTCCCTCATTCTCTGACTGTTCCACTTTATCCGGCACAACTCCGAAGCATTCCTGCAGTTGATTATATCCAATAATAAACTTCCACGAGTATCGCATCATTTAAATCTTCTCTTCCTGACAAGATTTCAAGCTAAGGACAACAACCGTGGTTACTCCGGGTGCCACATCCAGAATCCATGAAGGCATGTGTACTCATAACACCCCCCAAATGGAAACAACTCACATGTCTATCATCGGGGGAAGAGATAAACAGATTGCATTATATCCGTACAATGGAATACTGCTCAGTGAAAAAAAATCAATCAATAACATGCTACCACATGGATGGCTCTCAAAACATTATGCTGAGCATAAGACACAAAAGTGTACATACTGTGTGATTCGTTTATATAAGAATCTAGAAAAAGCAAAACTCATCTATACCGATAGAAAGCAGACAAGTGGCTACCAAAGGTGGGGGGTCAGGGGTATGACTGCCAAGGGGGCACAAGGGAACTTTTTGGGGTGATGAAAATGTTCTGTATCTTGATTGTGTGGTGGCTACATGGGTCTATACATTTGTCAAAACTCATCAAACTGTGTACTTAAAATGGCCACATTTTATTATATGTAAATTATGCCTCAATCAAGTTGACTTTAAAAAGAAACATTTGTGTACTCTGAATCAACAAAGACTTTGTTGGAAATGTCATAGGACATACCTTTCAGCGGAGGTCAGCACTTGATTTGTGAAGGATGGGCACAGGAAGATGTCTACAGACTCCTGTTCAAGCAGCCGGCCCCTGGAAAGCCGGCAGAGCCATTTCTCCCAGACAGATGAGCTCGTAGGCTGAGAGCAAAAATGTGGCTTAAAAGCTGAGTTAACTGAATTAAAGAAGATTGCTCAGCAACAGAAACCCAGAAAAAGGAGAGAGAGAGGGAGAGGGAGAGGGAGAGGGAGAGGGAGAGGGAGAGGGAGAGAAGGGCAAAAAAGGGCCATGTGTTCAGGAAAACAGGCTTGGATTTGGAGTCCAAAGATTGTCTGGCCACCATGAGCTCTCCCCACTTTTTTTTTTTTTAAATTGGGGAATTGGGGGAGGGGAACAGACAAGTTGCTGTCCTTTTGTTCTTCAGTCTAGTTGTGGAGGACATCGCTTCACTGGCCCATGTTGTTATTACCATTGCGCTCTTCCCAGGTGAGGCAGATTGGTTGCCGGTCACTGGACGGCCGCTCATGGCAGCTCTTGGCAGCTCACGCCGGCTGCCGGCTGCTCACGGTAGCTTACAGGAGCCTACTGCAGCCCCACTGCAGCTTACGCCGTCGCCGGTGACCCACGGCAGCCCAGCTCCAGGTCGAGCTGTTGTTCACCATCTTAGCTGTAGAGGGCACAGCATCACTGGCCCATGTGGGATCCGAACCGGGGTCCTGCTGCTCAGAGCTGGCATCCCAAGCCAGCTCTTAACCAACATGCCACTTGGCCGGCCCTCCCCACGACTTCTTATGGAGGCCAAGGAAAAGCTTTTGGGACCAGCCACCCCACCTTGCTCTGAACCCACAGGTCCCAGCCACCAGCCTGGTTCCAGTCTGACTCCTAAGACAGTGGGGTG